AGGACGACCGCCCGTACGGCATCGGAGGCTTGCCTGCAGACAACCCTCGTTAGTGTCCTAGGCCCTAGCGCTTGTATTGCAGTTATAATTTAATATTGTACAAAGCGCTACTCTTATTATGAAGCTGCAAAAGCGATTTGAAGAATGGTAATGGAATGTGAAAGTTTAACTACTAATTCATACATAATGTGTATCAATGCAATTTCTATCCTGTTTTGTACATGAAAACATACTTAGATAAATTGGTTTTTAAAACATTTAGACAAAAGACTACTATAATTACTTAAAAATAGTCGTGCTAATTTAATTTCTGAAGTTAAGAAGGGTTAGATATTTTAATCTACTCAATCTCAAAAGTTACAATGAACGAAACGATATCTAGATGTGATGGGACATGGTATAGGTAGTATTTGTATAGTGTAAGCATTATTTCCATACCAGTGCGTATGGCGGATGAGATAATATCGCGAGCGGCGCGTCTGCGGCTTTCCTCACCCGCTTTCTCCTCCACAAGCTTCGCCATCGAGTTCTGGAGACTTCTACAGGACGGACATAACTTTAGACATACGAATCATAATAAAATTATATTTAAATGGCATGTATTACGTCAGCTGAGCGTGTGTGATTCTATATAGGGAATTTACCGTTATTGCCAACTTTATTTGTCTTGTTCATTCGGTCAAAACGTGTCGTTTACTCGTCGTCAACGATTAATAATAATAATCCATGTAACAATTCATCCATTCAAAATATTACAACACTTAATACACTTAAATGTCAATAATAATAAATAAAACTGAGGAACCCGAAATATAATAATAATAACATACAAACTGCCATATATGTATGATCTAAACTGACCTCCTGGCGTCCTGCAGCAGTACTGTGGGGTCGACCTGCGGCGTGTTGTGCATGGGCTCGCTCTCCGTCTTCTTCACGCCGCTGCGGCTCGCCTCCCGGCTCTCCTCTACAGGAGCCTGAAAACAATTCATGTTTAAAAACACACATTCGTCAGTTATTTGATATAAGATATATTTCTATCAATATTGTTGGTAAGAGAAATTAATTTCCTTAGAACACTAAGTAATATTTGTGTTACCTGTGAAGGTTCTATTCCAATTTGCTGAAGCCGCACAGTGCCATTGTCCGGAGACTTGGCCGGCAGATCTCTGTCCTCACTTTGAGCTTTGGCTTTGGCAATCTTAGAAACAACTGCAACAATAATACAAAATAAATAAAAAATGTCGTTGAAGACACTTGCCAAATGTAATCATTTTGTTAAATACCTGGCTTAGATACATTTCGTTTTATCTCCGGAGCCGAAGTCAACGACGCGCGTCTCTCGAACTGTTCTTTGAAACTACCCACATGTCCACCTGAAAAATAGATTACAATTCTAAATATTGTGTTAACATGGTAATTTAGATAATAATACAAATGCAAAAGTTTAGATAGATGGATGGATATTTGTTAGAGTTAGATGTTGTAGCCTAAACGGCTGAACGGATCTCGATGAAATTTGGCATCGATGTATCGATCTAGCTAGATCTAGTAGTAGATAGTATCTTATGTGTAAACACATAGTCTACTATTTTATAGGCTGCTATTTTGTTATTCTTCGCGGACGCAGTCGCTAGCGAAAGCAAGTTAAACATAAATAAATGACACAATATTACCAATAGACAATTTCTTGGGTTTGGCGGGCGAGGGCGCGGGCGCGGGAGCGGGCGCGGGGGCGGCGGCCGGCGTTGGCTGCGTGAGGGTCAAGGAAGTCAGCTTGTCTGTGGTGGTCGCCACTGACGCTGGCTTCTGCTCCTCCACCTGCTAATAATCACAATATACAATCATACGCAATTTTTTAAAGGAATAAGTAAAATAGTTGACGAAATCTTTCACAATCTCACTATTAAGAATCGACAATTTAAAAAAAAATTACGTACTTGCCTTTAGTAAAAATCTGAATATAACGCATATAATATATATTACACCACATATATGTTCTTTAACAGTGATATAAATGGAAACATGACAAAATTACTTAACAGTTTACCTTTATTTCTTCTTGTTTCTCAAAAGGTGATTTCTCCTCGATTTTGGGGGAGGTGACCTTCTTGGTAGGCTTGTCGTTAACTTCTTGTTTGGGCATCTGCTTGACAATGTCGACTGTGGCATCTTTGGCGAGCTCCACCGGCGCAGGCGCTATCGTGATCGTCGCAGAGGACTTAAGGCACGGCTGGGGCTGTAACATTTGTAGATATTTAGTATAGGTGTTGCTCGCGACTTTGCCCGCGTGAAATTTGAAAATATATAGCCTATGTTACTCACTGATAACGTAGCTTTTTTGAGTGAGTTTGAGTTATATCTATGCATACAAAAATACAAATCTTTTTATTGGGTTATAAAATAGAACGCACCGGCTCATTGGAGAGGTCCTCGTCTGCGGGCGGCGAGTCCAGGGATCCTTCCTCAGGCAGCGCGGCCGGCAGCTGCGCTACGCTCGCGCAGCTGTGGTACAATAAAATTAGAATCATAATGGAACACTATTTTATGACTTTACACATAGTAGAAATTATAAATATTGACTATTACTTTATTGTGTACTATTATATTTTTGTGTACTGTAACGTGTGGATTGTTGGTTATGGTTTGTCTACCTGGCCACCTTCTCCTTCTTCCTGTGCAGTCCGCTGGCGGACATGGCCAGCTCCAGCTTGCGCTTGTTGTCGCCCGCCGACACGATGGTGCGCGTCGGAGACGGCTTTATTGCGTCCTCGCCGCCCTCTGTATTACACAAAGACAAAATTACACACTACTAGCATTTGCCTGCAATTCCGTCTGAGCGAAATGAAAAAAAAAATATATATTTCGTGTTTTTTTTTTTGTAATTTTACATCTGTGTCAAATTTCATCAAACCGTTGAGGCGTTCCGGTGATACCTTCTAACAAATTATCTATCCATCTAAACTTTCGCATTTACAATATTAGAAGATTCGATAGTGTTTTGTTTTTCTATATATTTTTTTATTTATCGAATTTCCAAAAAGACAGTACTAAAGTGTTATCTATTTGTTAGGTATCTTACCAGCGACTAATTCTAGGATTCTCTTCTCAGCAGAGTTGCTGGGCTCCACCGGGATCGACGTCGAACTGGTCAGGTCGGTGCAACTCTCCTCGGGGCGGAGTTCAGCCTGCAGAACACAATTAAAATTAACATACAAATTTAACACAGGTAAAATTCATTGAAATATATTTAACGAGCTGTCCCCGTGCGTCTTCATCCGCATAGGATTATGAAAACTTTACTTTATTGTTGACATTTGTGAAATTTCCAAATGTCAAAATTCAAATACACAAATGAAAACGAAGGACTTTGGCATTCGATAACAATCACCGTTACCATGGCAACCTGGGCTTCCTTGCTGGAGTTTGGAGTTTTTGTCAAATTATTTACTCCCTAAGTTTGATGGCGTGAAAATATATAGCCTGAAGCTGTCGTGTGTGTGTGTGTGTGTGTGTACCTCAGTGGGCACGACGACGGAGTTGGTGTGCGAGGCGGCGGCGGGCGCGAGCGAGAGCAGCAGGTCGAGCCGCACCGGCGTCTCCGCCGCCAGCGCCTGCGCCAGCTCCAGGCACGAGGACGGACACCCCGCGTTCACCCACCTACGTACGTATATTCAAAACTATTTTTCAACACCAAAGATTAAAAAAATATATAGAGGAAGCATAGTTGACACATTGATAGATCACCAGAACCACAATCTTACTAATATTATAAATGCAAAAGTTTAGATGGATGGATGTCTGTTAGAATTTGTAGCCTAAACGGCTGAATGAATCTCCATGAAATTAAACATAGATGTAGAGGATAGTCTGGAAGAACACATAGGCTACTAACTTTTATTCTTTTTATTTCACGTAGACGGAGTCGCGGGCGAAAGCTAGTGTCAATACAATTTAAATTAACTGCCAATAGGTGTCATTTAATAAAATGGAATTGTTTGACAACTTACATTCAAAGAAGTTGCCGGTGTAAAAATATTGCTTCCCGTGTCTAGTATACATGTTTCTTAAAGTTCTTTATTCAAGAAATACTTGTAACATGGCAAAAAGAAAGAAATACTCACGGATGATCACAAATGTAGGCAATATCGGCTCGCTTTAGCGGGTCTACTGTGAGCATGTCGCGAATAAGTGGGGAGGCGGCTGAAATAAACCAAGACATTAGAAAAATAAATAACATAAGCTATGGAGAAAAATGTAATATGAATTTCTAACAGTTTATTAAAAGATCTTTTTGGAATCTGGAGTTCGAAATTATATGTCATCACATCATCATCAGCTCACTATAAGTCCCCACCGAGGGGCTCAGAGCCAACCCTAAGTAAGGGGTAACTAGGCCATAGGCAAAGACAATTTCTCCAAAAGAAACTCTATGTAAATAGCAAAGAATAAAATTTCAATAAACAGATAGAAAATGTAATATACATACTAGATGGATTTTTAGGTTCGTAGTAGTCGCCGTTGCTGATCTGTCGCACAAGGCGCTTGAAGTTGGAGCCGTCGAAGGGCATTGCGCCGTACACCAGCGTGTACAGCAGCACGCCCAGCGACCAGCAGTCCACCTGCCGGAAATATATTTGTGATGTAACTACTCTAGACATTTTTTTCAATAACAATATAATCTCTTTCTGCATTAAGACAAATAAATAATGGAAACGAGATAAAAACGGTAAATGCAAAGTTAATTAAGTGATAAAGCGAATAAAACAATAAAACACTACTTATAATAATTATCATAGTAATTTTAAATTACTAATTGTCGCTCGCGACTTTGCCCCGTGACATTAAAAAAATAATTAAAGAAATGGCTTATGTTACTCACTAATATCGTAGCATTTTAATGGTGAAAGTATTTACAGTTTGAAATCGGCTCAGTAGTTTTTTTAGTTATTCCAATACATACAAAAATGGATATATTTACTCTTTATAATATTGGTATGTAGATTATAATTATTTTACATTTAAACTTTAAAGTATTCTCGGATTCCTCGTACGTACTCGTATGTAGACAATCTCCGTATTAATTATACCGTCAGTCATATGCGATTAATGTACAAGTTCTAATAATACAGGCGGTAGACATTGCTATAATAAGACCTAAAATTCCACACCGGCTGTTAAAGCTACATTCGTCAGTACCCCTTCAAATAATATGTCTACAATTTCAACTGAATAACGCAAATCTATATTAACATCATTAAGTAAGATTTGTACTTTTGTAAGATTTGTATTTTTGTATGTATTGTAAAAACTCAAAAACTCGATAAAAAAATCTTGCACCATTAAAAAGCTTTGTTATCATTGAGTAACATAGGCTATATTTTTTACTGTTTTCTTAATTTCACGCGGGCGAAATCGCAAGCAACAGCTAGTATCTTATCAAGACGAAATTCAATTAAATAATGAAGATTATTAAAAATCTTCACTCTATAATACTAAGTTGGTAAATGTAATAAAATATAGCTTTTGCCTGCGACTCTATCCGCGTAAAATTAGAAAAAAATGGAGAGTAGGCTATGTGTTCCTCCAGACTATCCTCTACATCTGTACCAAACATCATCGAAATCAATTCAACCGTTTAGGCTAAAAACTCTAACAAACATCCATAATATTAGTATGAAGTATGATAGACAGGGTTCTTACCTCTGGCCCGATGTATGGCGTTCCTTTAACGATCTCTGGCGAGGCGTAAAGCGGCGAACCGCAAAATGTAGACAATAACGAGGTCTCTTTAAACACGTTCGACAGACCGAAGTCGGCAATCTGTGGGATAAAGTACCAATTAATTTTTCACTTTATGTTTTACATAAATAAAAACTCGTAACCGCCTCGCACAGAAATGTTATAATCACTAAAGGTGTATTCTAGTATAGATTTAACAAGAGAGATATGGTAAGGAGTTTTTTAAGTAAAAATTTAACTTCTCTGAGTATTGCAGTACGAAATTCAATAACTTTACTAGTAAAGCGGTAATTGATCAGGTTATAATTATAATAATAGTTTTATAGTCCGTTCAAAGGTGAAGGCTTTATTAAATGGCGTTATAAAGTGTTCCAGAGCTAAAAAAACTACTCACTTCGTTTGTATGATGTTCTCATTAGAACCTACATTTAAGAGTATTGAAATCACTTTTAGGCATTTGATTCCTCATATTGTTTAGTAGCCTTAGTACCTTTAATTGTTTGTTGAGGAAATTAAAAAGTCAATAAACATATACAAACCTTAGCACTACCAGTGTCGTCCAGTAAGACATTTTCTAATTTTAAATCTCTGTGGCATATCTTGTGTATGTGACAGTAGTAAACAGCTGTAGCGATCTGACGGAACAACCTAAAAACATGGGATATTTAAACACCACTTGATATATTGAGGACAAAATGTGTCCTTTAGATCGAACAAGAAATGATACAATTCTCAAAACAAATGGCTAATCGGAATATTCGTAGAATTGATATTAAAATAACTTGATATATCATAACCTTTAAAATCCACAATTAAAAGATTGTGTGGGTGTTTTATGCACACGATCGTGTTCGCAATTTAATAGATTTACCATTTTATAAATGCATTTGAAACGTTAAAGTAAACCAATTAATCTTTATCTCTACATTTCTAATATTGAAATAACATGTTTCAATATAGGTAGACAAACAGGTTATCATACCTCCTTGCTTCTTCTTCTTCTAATACTTTCTTTTGGCTGAGGTAGTCGTACAGTTCTCCGCCAGAACAGTACTCCATAACAAGAATCATCTTCTCACTGTTTTCAAACACTGCAAGTTTAAAACAATATTTTTATACTCTATCTGTATTACCTCAAACTATAGCACTTTAACTAATGGCAAATGTATTCTATGTTCACAGAGTATTAGTAAGGTTATATATCTTACCTTCGTATATATGAACGATGTTGGGATGTCTCACTGAAGACATGATCTGCACCTCGCGCCGAATGCGCACCAGGTCTGCTTCGGACTCTATCTTGCATTTCTTTATCGTCTTGATGGCCACCTCTTGACCCGTCTTCTTGTTTATACCCAGCTGCACTTTACCGTATGTGCCTTGTCCTAATTTTCTAACTATATCGAATCTAAAAATAGAAAACATTTTTTTTAAATATCGCTTTAGTCCGGTCTATACTATCTATCTATGGGCTATTAACCCTCAGTAACTACATCTATTAATTTTTTTATTTCTATGTATAGTATATATAGGCGGTATTCTATATATAGGCTACATATAAGTATGCGATCTTGGCGTAATTTAACTATATTAAATCTTCAGCCAGATTCCTAAGTAATAAACCCTGCCGATCAAAAGCATACATACGATAAGAGATAATTTCCATGTAACATTCTAATAAGTAAAAAAGTTAACAAGGAGAAAATTATAAGCTGACGGGTATGAACGATCAGTAATACATTTATACAAGACAGTTGATAATTAAACGCCGTTGTCTCACACGTAGTCGGGATTAACGAGCGTGGAGCACGCGAGCCGGTGGCCGGTGGCGTTTATGTGATAATTCGATGTCAATGCTGCATACGGTAGCATACAACAATCAAGAATGTAAACACCTCCGCATGTAACTGGACATTTACACTACGCCTTTATTTTTTTTTTAATCAGTTCGGTGCTGAAATTAACGTTAAACTAATGTTTATGAATATTATAGATAATAGTACAATATTTTCTTAGAAAAGTACATTATCCTCAAGTCATTCTCAACTTGATTTGACCGGCCAATGTCAAAAGATGATCTTTATTTATTTTATGTGTTGTCTAGGTACGAATAGTCTAACTACGTATTTGGCAGCGTTGTATTCCCTTAAACCAAAGATCTCACAAAATAGTATAATACTACAAAATTCTAACTTATAATAGGAAATGCTAAACCAAACAAACACCACGATCTTGCTATCTGCCAACAAATAATTGTACGGTACATTTTCTGACAGTTCGTCCGACACTTTTGTCGTTGGTCGACCAGTCGGTATGCGCCACTGGTTTACAATTATAAGCAAAAACTTCCTCATTTCTTTTAGTTTTTGTAGAAAATAAAAACTAAATGACATTTCCAAACTATTTACAATTTGCAGCAGAAATTTGACTTTGTATTTTGTTTTTGTAGAAAAAAGTTGGCAGATTTTCTAAACCAGCATAGAAAATTTCATCAAATCCTCTCCTACAACTTGCGAACTTAAACAAGAAATATTTTAGTAATAAATGCAGTGTTCAAAATTGTATAAATAATGTATAGTTAAGATTAACGTTATCTAAACCTACGCTCAATATTAACATTCTCGCAACAGAAAGCTCGCACACGACGGCCGTGTGACGTCACCGATAACCTTTACGCCAGCGCCAGTGGGCTTCCAAGGTGCCCAATCTATAATTCTGAGACTCAAATGTGACCATGATAATATCGCTATGCGTTAGGAGATTTAGTAATTATTACTTGTAGTCGACGTTAACATTGAATGATTTATGCATGATGTATATACAATTTACGGAAATGAAAAAAAATCAGTATAACATAAGCTAAATAAGGTTTTGATATATTAATGAAGTAAAGGTGTAGAGATAATCTATTAGATAGCAGACATCCATGAGGATATATCACCCACGGCTACTTATACCACAAAGCAGCGAAGATATCACTCACCTCTGTTTGAGACGCAGTCTGTGGTCATGGAGCCGAACGTCGCCGGTATTCTCTATGCCGTCCATGATGTTGGTCGGCTGAGTACGTTTTGCTTCTCCGACCACCATTTTGGCTGGAAGAAACAGTTTTTAGTGTTAGATTGTAGTTGTATTTGTTGTAAATGTTCATCTATGGCTACCGAAAGATGAAAAACAATAAACTTATAACATACGTATGTTCAGTGTGTCCGTTTCCAATTTTAATATGAATTTCTACGTCCGTTAATGTTCTACTTCGTGGACAAATATTTTGTTACCAAGAGATTATAGATTTGGATTGTATTGATCAATTAGATTAGTATCAGTATTGGGGCGTCACATCTGTCGCGCGCCATGCCGCCAGCCAGCCGCCCGCCGCACGCCGCACGCCGCACGCGTCAGCTGCGAGATCATTAATTTGCAATGTCTCTTGATGAATGTTAATAAGATAAGGTAATGCTACCATACTTCTACAATACTTCAGGGTTTCCCTTGCCACGATTTAAAATTTTATTTTGGTTTCATTTTGTAATTGAATTCTTAAAATCTCAGATTTAATTGTCATACTTAAAACTTTATTTTAACTTTGCTACAACGCCTTTGTTGTATTTACTTTATAATAGTTAGATGAATGTATAGAACTTGTAAGTTTATCTTGCTTCGTACAAATATTTGCCTTAAATCAATTTTCGACTTGACTTTGCCGTCAGTAAGTTTGGGATATATTATAGACATACAAATTTATGGTAACCCTACGGGGTCACCAGGCGGCGGGCGCCACCATCCGTAACGGCTGCTTGACAGTTCCGAGCACGTATACACTCTGCTACGACTTTCGCATGGCCGAGGCGAGAAAGTAACGCTGCGTCATACTATTGTCATGGATATTGCGGAATTTGTAACATGAAAAAACTGTAAGCACCCTACTTTAACGAAGAAATTTATAGTGAAAACAATTATGTTATAATTTCTACGAATATTTTCTATGTCCTAAGGTTACGATTAAGCCAAAACAGTAACAGAATTCATAATTTTACAAATATCGAAAGATCGAATGTGCATTTGATATTTCCGTTTACTTTCATTAAATTATGTTCCTAAACAGCAAGTGTTATGATTCAATTTAGCGTACGCTAATTCACCGGGAGTATCATAAAGCCACCTACAGTTTCGTTACATTGACGAAAATATCCGGACACGTAGTGTCTTGCGTACCGCGATCTCACCGATGATGCAAACTCTTCGTTTTATAGAAATAACAAAACTTCTGTTACTAGGAACTTATTACTCAGCACAATTATAAACTTATCAAGAATTAAGGAAAAGTAAACAGCTTAATAAAAATTAAATAATAAAATTCGCCTGCTTTTAACTTACTTATCACCCGACAAATGACTACTCGTATAACGAATGTCATAGAGATAGGTGCAATTTGGATTGTAATTTTACTTCTTTCTTTAGTTGTCTTGACTAAGACTCCTTTATTTACAAAAAGTGCATTTTTGTTGATACACCAGATTTTACCTTTACAATAAAAAGTAACTAATGAGATGTGCGAGTAGGCGGAAGACATGAATCTGTCGACACCAGCCGCCTGCCGGAGTCACCCACTGAATTCGAAAGCACAAACTAAAACAAGGTGCATAACATTTAACAGACAGGAAAAAATACTGACATATTGAGTGTCTATCAACACTTAGGTCTATTTTTTAATCATCGTATGTCAAGTTATCTGTCTCTTTTACTCCCAATCTTCTCTCAGACTTTTACGCTCTTCGGAATATCTTTTAATTTAAGTGCCGAAAAGCAGTAGGATATTCATAAATCCTGGCATAGAGTTAAATCATAGAAATGTCGCGTTGTTTTACTTCGTATTGAAATAGATAGAGCACATTGTGTTAGAAGAGCTGTTGTAAAGTGATTGCGACCCATTTCAATCCACGCAGTCTCGCCTGACCTAGATAATCAACACTTTACGTACGCACGTCACGAAGTAAGCTAATGTCTTAAGAAATCTCTTCACATTCTATTCAATGACCTAAAAAAAAACAGGTACATCGTAATTTTTATTAACGATGCTTCAGCCACGTTATTTACAAAAAAAGAATATCCTATATATATTTCCACAGAGATTTATTTACCTGCGAAATATATTTTCTTTTAATTATTTAAAATTGTATTAAACCCGACTGAACATCACCGTTGGCATCCCGTATACAAACATACTTGAGAAACACATCTGTCCGTTTAGAAAAAAGCCTGGCTATATTAATGAGAGCCGTGTGCCAAACAGTTTTAATAACAATTCTAATAGTTTTTACAACAGCTGGAGGTACACTATGAGTGGCGGAGTGACTAGGCAAATTTTTCATAAGTAGCTATTTAGAGAATGATCGGTAGACAGCGGCGCGTGTACAGATGATGAAAGAGATACGTTTAAAAAAAACTAAGAATACAGTTGCTCCCAGCGGACGCGTGACTCACGACGAGGGCTTCCTAATCGAAAGTAAAGTGAAAATATAACACGAGTAGATTTCACCCACCACTTAACTAGTTTTTGATATATTTAAACTATCTACCTTACTATCTATATCTTGCATCTTTGCAAATGCAATTCATGAAAACGAAATTCATTCCTCGTAATTATTTCTGAAGCCTCAACAGCCGACGTCTAGTAATTTAGTATTGCTGTCTCAGTTTGATAATGCAACAAGATTTGTCTTTTTGCATTACAATGTTGAAATGCATAAAAACAAAAAATACTCTTGCCCTGCGCATACTCCATAAAAAAGATTTATAACAATATTTTTTTACAATGGAAACATACATTTAAATCCATAAATATAAGTCGCACAGAACATATTACATTTTAATTGAAATAGCTTCCCTAATGTCAGATACACGATACGTAAGTTATCATTATTGCCGTTACAACCTTGTTTATTACCAACAAAGAATTATGTACATCGATGTAATCTATGGCTTCCATCTAAATCTCCGTCGACTATAAAATCAATATCGATTACTATCGTAGACGTATTATGTAAAGGTCTAAACAAAGCGATTAGCTAATTTGCGTGTCGTTGAAAGTTATTTGTACAGGATGGTACTGTTAGTTTTTTCAAAAATGTTGTATTGTTTTATTTCTTTACTATAATTATTATGAGTTGAATTGACGTAATTAATTGAATACGATGTTCTAGTTACACCTACACTGATGAGAACTGGAACGAGCGTAAAGGCAAACCTAATTAAGTTGGTTAAATTAATTGAAACGTGGATAAACCTATAAAATAGAATTAGAATGAAGAAGATTTGCTATTCTATTTCGTAAATTCGAATCTTGTTTAGATTTAGATAAAATAATGTGCCCAAGAACTTCAATCGATATTTTGCATGATTAAAACTGTACCATCAGTTAAACATAAATATAAACGTACATACTATTGAAAATGCAATAAAGATATGTAATAAAATAAATATTTATTCCGTGGCGTGAGAACAGCGGCTTCATTCAATTGATTGGTAATGGACGGTAGCTGTTCCGTTAGTGAATTATAATCGGATTGCAGGCAACTTCTCATTCAGAAAACTCAATTAAAACGTTAAGTTAATTACACGAATAATTGATTTAATTAGAAAAATAATTATAAAGAGGAGTTTATTATCAAGCGATTTTAATAAAAGGTGTGCCAGTATCCAATGGTTACATTTCGTATGACGTTTAAATTTAAAGAAAAAAATATGTTCTTAGACTTAGATCTACCGACACCTAAAAGCTCTAAATCATCAGTCACAATTTGTAGATGTCTTCAAGACTATGAATGATAAAAGCTTATGTTTGTTGGTTATATCATAATTCAATGGAACTTTTAAATAGATCTGCTTCGGTCCGAACTAAAATTCAAGCAACACAAGTACACATAATGAGCATGCGCAGTCTAATGATTTATATAGCAACTGACATTTTGTGGGCTCGCAATATTTAACGTTCGTAACGCGCGGCGTGTTCCAAAATATAAAATTAAATTATAAGTTTTTGATCATAGATATAAGATTTATTAAGCTTTCTAGATGTGACGTTATTTTTAAAATTTGCTTTAGCAAAGAATACCTATGGTTACAAAATGAAAATGATACTCTATTCTAACATTAAAATAAGAATGATTTGTATTTTTCGATTTTTGTATGTATTAAAATAACTCAAAAACTACTGGACCGATTTCAAAAATCTTACACCATGAAAAAACCTTTATCAGTGAGTAATGTTTTTTTTTTTATTTCAAACGGACGAAGTCGCAACCAACAGCTATTCAATAGTAATGACGTTAATTGCAAACAGAAATGCACGTATCACGTTTTTCATATATGGTTGCAGCAGACAACTAACAAGACAACTGAACCAACAGTAGGCATTAACAAATGTAAGACAACGATCCTTATACAATAAAACAAGTAAGTAATTTATGGAATGTATCCGAGTAAAGCAAAGCTACAATGTAAATATGAATAACATGTTATCAGGCATATGAAGCAAATATTTGATTTTCATAATTACTTTTACTTCAAGTTTATAGGTGACTTATTTGCACTTGTACCTGTTTGTTCCGTTGGTTAGGTTATATATTTCAGCACTTAAAAGTTAGATAAACGTAACTTATTCATTTTATCAATAACCTGTTAAATAAGTGTAGCCATCTATATGTAAGTTTTTAGATACATTTATTTAATTACGTAGATACTACAACATAAGATTACCAGGATCAAATACAATCGCAGACTCCTACGCACGTATTGTCCACAAGTAAACATCGGTTTATTGTGATAATATAATTAAATTATGAGTTCAAGGCCCAAACATTAAACAATGAAGCTATTAAATAAAATACATGTTCATAATAAATGCGGTTTGAGATACAGAAATACTGTTAATTGAAATAATTATATTGGGAGTAAATAGGAATTCTGCAAAAATTTATAGTAACCAAATTTATATTCTAATAGCACAAAAAATATTTTCACTACTTGATAGTTGCTAAGTCAACGACAGAGCACAAATTAAAACTAAAGTTTAGAGATACGTACTAATAAAAAA